TACTGAGAACCATATTGGGTGAAAACATTTTTTGGAGGAGGCTGATTTGTTCAGAACTAAATAAGGAGCTTTCGGTAGAAACGGCTGCAGTTCCTCTGTTGAGACAAAATTGCCCTGATGAATTTCCTCCATTTTCTGCTTTAGTGTTTTCTTCTTCTCAGCCGATTCCTTCTCAGTTGGTTTCCCGTGAAGCTTCCAGCATCTTCTACGAACGTGTCCCGCCCTTTTACAGTATTCACACTATGGTCATCCCTTTCGCTCAGTCAGCCGACTTGTGAGAATAGTACCAGTCTCGGGTGAGAGAGATATGCTTTCAGTAAGGTTAGGGTTGAGTTGCGAGTCACCCATCATCACTTTCTTCCTGCTTTCTTCGCGTCGCACCTCAGAGAACACCTCTCTGATGTTCGGGAGAGGTTTGGTTCCAAGGATGTGTTCTCTTACCTCGTCGAGGTTTTTGTTCAGTTCGAAAAGGAACTTGAAGATTCGTCTCTGTTCCACGATACTTCGGAATCTCCTGGCATCCTCTAGGCAGCTCCAGGCATGTTCTTCAAAAACATCAAGTTGCTGCTATTTTCGAGTAAGAAAATTGTAATATTAAGTTACCGTTTTTTCTCCTTGGCGTAGGTCGTGGAGGCTTGCTTCGATTTCGAAGATGGTGGAAGTGTTATCGCGAGTGGAATAGAACTCACGAGCTGCGATTCAGATGTCGTGCACAGTTTTATAAAGGAGAAAATTTTCGCCAATCTCAATGGCCATTGAATTCACCAACCAAGATATAACAAGATTGTTCTCAACTTTCCATATCCGAGTATTTGGATCGTTCGCGGGAGAAGGTGAGAGCTCTCCAGTGAGCTATTAATCTCGGCTTTTTCCTCGAATGAACATCAACACCGAGGACGATCACTAAAGATAGTTACTGCCATTTAGTCGATGGCCAGTAACGAAAGATGGAGCCTAATTAGCAAGAGTATGGCTATCAGGCACTGGAAGGTGAGAGCTCAAAAGAACTTTGGGCGGAGAAGGGATCTGCTCATCCATTGCCTATTGAATGCAAGAGGGATGCTGAAGAATTTGGATCAGGCTTGCTCTGATACCATGAAGAATTTGAAAATAAGAAATAACTCCCTTTTTTTACTCTTATTTTATTTATCAATAATCAACAACATTTTATAGGCAAAAGCAGGAGGAAAAAAATAAAAAACTAACAAACTTTCCTAGTGGAAAAATAAGGCATAACCTGCCAGTAACCATTTTGTTATATTTGCTAGGTTGTAAAAAACAGAAAAAAGAAAATATTGAAAGTAATTCTACAAATACATATATGATTAAAATGATAAATCTGAAAAGTGCTTGAAAATTGAAAGGTATGTAGTTCTTGAAAAGATCTGGGAGAGTGAGAAGATGTGAAAACCTCCTTTTTATCTGACCTTGTACTTGTCCTCTTAAAGGCCTGGCTTTCTAGCAACAGTTGGAAGAAAAAGCTATAGTGATGATCCCATTTGCTTGCCTGGCATAATAAAACTGGTTTAAATAAGAAAAAAGATTAAAAGAAAAAGATATTATTGATATTTATGGTTTATTAAAAAAAAATAAACAATTATTGATACTTATGGTTTGAACTGCAGGGCCACATGGCAGTTAGCTAAACAATAGTGTTTTGCCATATAGAGTTTCTTTCGATCATAATATTAGTGCTAAAAATTTTGGCAGTGTCTTTCTTGAGTATATGCTTTGTGCTATTAGAATTTTGTCCAAGGAAAGATCTATGACTTAGAATAATGAGATTCCTGTTTTCAGTTGAGCTGGAAAAGCAAAGCTATTGTGATCTTAAAGTCATCACATACAGACACCATGTTGCTTTC